TATTTATAATACAAAATAACAACTAAAATTATTTTTCTAAATCTAATGAATATGGGTAATAAAAATAAATTATCAAAAACTAAAAAAAAAAAAAAAATTAAACGAGGCAAAGACCCCGCCCCGCCTTGCCTTACACGGGTACTGTGCCATATCGATGTTTCCTAGCCTGTAAGGAATTACAATTGAAAATAAGGGAAGAATTAGTATTCTTTTTGAAAGCATATTGCACAGGAAAGAATTGTACAAGTATGTGACATTTACAATGTAAGCCCCGACAGCATTATTCCTCCATTTGTCTATTTGAGTAGACCACCAACTACCAACTCATGTGTTCTTTTTCTTGCCTTTTTTAATTTTTCTTTTGATCGGACCTTTTTTAATTTTTTGGATGGTCAATGGTAGGATTGTCTTGGGTCTAAAAGCTTATAAACTTTCAGTGATCCACACTGTTGAATATATAAATCGGCAAAGAGAGAGAGTTGCAGTCTGAAAAGATTAGAGGTACCGTGGTAAAAGCACTCGAGCTTTCAATAGTCCATGTGTTCAAATAATTCGACGTACAGTTGAAGATATGAGCAATTTGATCTTTATGCTATACATTTTGTGGGTGATCGCAATATTTTTTTAGGAATTTGACGTTTGAAATTTGAGGTCCACGAGGGAGGTGGAATAAGAAATATTGAACATAATAAATACTATTGGCTTGGTCAAAGTTTATCAGAAGATTGGTCTAAAATTCTTGAAAAATTAGTTTTTTATGATTATATTGGCAATAATCCAACAAAAGGAGGATTATTCGGGGCATTTTCAATGGATGGAATCACGATTGGATGGTTAGGACACGTAACATAACCAAACCTTGTTATCGTGTAATTTTAGTTGTTTGTCATTGTTAACATCACAATGTGATAGGATCAAGCTGTCAACCATCTCAATTACTTTTTTCGTTCACCTACACATCCCCTGTATATTGGCACAATGTTAAGAGGCAAAGGCAACAGTAATAGAAAAATGTCCGTTGAACGTTTGTACTCCAGTATTTTAATCATTGCTAGAAAAAAAACGATCGGGTGATGGAGGTTAAAATATTTACCTGTTGAGTGCAATTCATTTGCATTATGTGGAGGAAGATGAGGTATGCGGTCAAAATGGCTATTGGATCTGGCCCTTTCAATCCAATTAGATTTACCTCACCGATGCAGTATCAGCTATTGTGCTGTCCTCTTTCGCCACGTGGATGCCCGGAATATGTTGGTACACCGTTAGTCTTTTAAGGAAAAATCTGGAGAAACAAACTCGGTGACAAGGCCATTTTTCAGTGACTAACTTGTCAGTTTTTAATTGATAGTTGTCTTTTTCTTTTAAGGTTCGTTTGATTGCAATGGTGAAAAATGGATGGAAAGAAAATGAATTTAGGGAAAGTAAGGGTCTGTTCTCTTTGTCGTTTTCAAGCCGTTTTCTGTTTTCGATTTTTCAAAACAGTGAAAACGCGTTCTCTTTCCTATTTTCGAAAACGCATTTTTGAAAACGAAAAAAAAAAAATTGTACACAAAACACCAAAATGACTTTTTTCACGTTTTGGAAGTTTTCAAGCAAAAACAACGAAAATTTGGAAAACACGGGAAAGGCCTATTTTGGGAACAGTACCACCCACTCCCAGCATTTCTTCCACGTTTCGATTTCTTCCATTTTCATCCAATCCATCCCCTATCTTCCTTCTCTCTCGACGCCGATTATCTCTTGTCGGTACCGGAGCCGGCGTGGGTGAAGGAGACTCGTTCGTGAACGCAGGAGTGGCGACCCATTCTTCGTGACGCTGCTCTGCCTCCTCTCTCTTCGACTGGCGACCCATTCTTCGCGACGCTGCTCTGCCTCCTCTCTCTTCGAATGACGACCCATTTGGTGGCGGCGTCGTTCATTTTCAGCGAAGGTGAAGTTCTCTCTATTTTCGATCTGAAATTTTGGGGGTTTTTGGTTTTTTCGATTTCGATTGTGTTGATTGGTGACGACCCATTGATCTCAATTGTGTTGATTGGAAATTGCAGTGGTGACTGGTGGTGGCGATGGTAGGCAGTGGCGATGGTGACTGGTTGATTGCAATGGAGTGGAAATTGTAGTGGTTGTGTTGATTGCAGTGGAGTGGAGTGGAAATTGCAGTGGTTGGTTGATTTTGGCGACTTGTCGTGTTGATTGCAGTGGAGTGGAGTGGAAATTGCAGTGATTGTGTTGATTGCAATGGTGGTGACTGGTTGTGTTGATTGCAGTAAAGTGGAAATTGCAGTGGTGGTGATTTTGGTGACTTGTTGTGTTGATTACAGTAGAGTGGAAATTGCAGTGGTTGTGTTGATTGCAACGGTGGTGACTGGCTGTGTTGATTGCAGTG